ACACTTACACATTCCATACATTAGTCTAAATACGTAATAGTAATAACACTTACACATTTCATACATTAGTCTAAATACGTAATAGTAATAACACTTACACATTCCATACATTGGTCTAAATACGTAATAGTAATAACACTTACACATTTCATACATTAGTCTAAATACGTAATAGTAATAACACTTACACATTTCATACATTAGTCTAAATACATAATAGTAATAACACTTACACATTTCATACATTAGTCTAAATACATAATAGTAATAACACTTACACATTCATACATTGGTCTAAATACATAATAGTAATAACACTTACACATTCCATACATTGGTCTAAATACATAATAGTAATAACACTTACACATTTCATACATTGGTCTAAATACATAATAGTAATAACACTTACACATTCCATACATTGGTCTAAATACATAATAGTAATAACACTTACACATTCCATACATTGGTCTAAATACATAATAGTAATAACACTTACACACTCCATACATCAACCTTTGTACTGTATGTTTTTCTTGACAATAACTCTGGTGCAGCATAGGCGGGACTGCCACATTGTGTATGGAACAGTGTACGTGGTGTTGTAACAGGATCATTAACTGAACCTGACTTTTGGAGGCACTTCATGCAATTACTCAAACCAAAATCTGCAGAAAATGAATTGAAACATGTGTTGGTAGTTCAGATATTTATAGCACAATTAAAATAAAAGCTGTAAATATATATATCAGAAGATACTTGCCTATTAATCTTATATTGTCGTCATTATCGAGTAGTAGATTCTCAATTTTCAGATCTCTGTAAAATATGAAATGATTAGTGGTCCTGGGGGGTTTAGAAATGGAATGCGTCATGTAACTATAGTGAACAATTCGTGAATACATTTCTTGCATTATTTAAGGACTAAACCAGCGATGTCTGTTTTAGATCTAGCAGAAGAAGAATAGACAGAACAATGAATTGTTGTTAAGATATTAAAATGCATTGCTGTCATCCATTAACATGTGGTCTTTCACCCCAGTTCTAGTAAAAACCCAATGAATGTAAAGGGCCACTAACCTGTGCACGATACCAGCTCTATGTAAATAATCCACTGCTGATATCAGTTGTCGTAGATATTTTCTCACTTCTGCTTCAGACATACCAGTGCAATTTGATGCTGTTGTCACTTTACTCATGACATTGCCATTTCTACAGAACTCCATAATGAGATAGTAATGATTATCTGTTTCCATGGTTTCTAATAATTTGATGATGTTTGGATGTCGTACCATTTGTAGTATTTTACCTTCTCGTCGCATATTTCGGCGGATGTAGGGGTCTTGTCGTGCTTTCATTTTGTCAATTATTTTAACTGCCACCTGTCAATTTGGAAATGGGTGATGTAAGGTAACCATGTGTGCCATAGTCATACAAATACTCAGGCTAACCAAGGTGCACGTAGATGGACCAATCTTAAAAGCACCAATGGACACACCAGGGTGTACAATACCTAAGGTTTCTATCTAAAGCTTGTTTGTAAGTTGTGCCAACAGCATGTATATGCAAATCCCTAAAACCTAACACGGGTAAGACAGGCACTTATGACTAGTACAAATATTGATACACTAAGGAAATATAACAATAGGTTCATTATACCATGAACGTGTCAATATCTCAACAATCCATTATAATATGACAATTCAATATGGCAATCTATTTCAATGTCTCACTAAAGAACAATACATTGTAATACTTCAAAAACAATCCACGCCAATGTCCCAAAAATTCATATCAATATCAGAACAATCCATTTCAACAAATCACAATAATTGATTGCATATCTCAACGTTTAAATATCCAAACAATTTATTTCATTCTCTCAACAACCCAGTTTTGTAAGTATCAAGGAACATGCACCACTGCTCTAAGCGTTCATTTATTACTTGTGGCACATATTGTTTGTATGCAAATTGGTAAACCTTTACTGTCACGTTGATATTTATATTAGTAAACCTTACAGTGTCATGAATAGACTTAATTAATATATGACTAATTAATTTGCATACGAAATTAGATAAACACATCATATGCAAACTATACATATTGTTTCGTGCAAATCGCACTTGTTTTAATTTGTACAATTACATTTTTCAAGTTTTATCAAAGAATGGAAATTTTTTACAACGCGATTATGGCATTGATTTCAGCTCGGCTTTCCTGTGTCTTTGGACGGCTGATCTTCGTTTACAGGGTATTACGTATTATGTTGTGTGGAGAGTGATTGTCCTCGTACAGCCTGCATCGGTCCATTACCAGTGCTATTTCTTTCTTTGTTCAGACCCATACACAATGGTAGCTGAAATAACCTGAACAAATTAATAGGATTACTAGAATGTTTGTATACAATAATTAATGGCACAAAAACGTGTGGAAATCATGAGTAAGCATACCACGCCGATTTAGTATCATATGGACTGACCATAACCAACGAGATCATTCTCGTTTAATAATTCATACGATCAGCACAGGGTTATACGTAGGGCTACCAACTCGGCAACGAATTGTGCAACAAAACAGATTCACGAAACTGAAAAAGAGTGGCCGTTTATTATACACTCACCTTGCAATTGCTGGTTTGAGTTGCCCCGAGTATTACGAATAGAACGTTGTGTTCAGAGAACTTTGACTCACAGAGATACAGGTCCGATGCATATGAATATACATTGGTTCGATACAGATAGAAAACTTTAAACATGTACGGTGTTGATCATAAATAATATTGCATCGTCGTGCGAACGAAATGTGCATACATGATAATAATTATGGTAACAAAAGCATGGTCCGTACACATGATATTAATAATTCCTATGTTGCTATTTCATGACACAAACTCCGAAGAATTACATATCTCATTGCGGAAGAAGTTCTATAAGTTTGTCCCCGCCATAACCTGAACCCCTAACCTAACCACCCATGTAATTCAATATGCCTCTCAAAATAACCAAACGTGTCCCGAGGGGGGGGGGCACATGCAAATAAAATGGGGGATGGGGCAGGGTTATGATTTATGGATGATGTGCCCTAAGAAATAGTATTCCCACATGTGCAAAACACGTTCAATCTCAAGGATATAATCCAATTCAAAAAAATCTGAATAAAGGTCCATGTTTGTAGGCAGAACCGACAAAACATGTACATGCATCTAGCAGCACGTGGAAAGTAGATGCACTTGTCATTGTGCAAAGTCACCGTATTAACTAATAGACATAGCATAGTTAACACGCGCGGATTTAGGTGAAGGCCAGGCGCCCCTGTCCTTTTAGCCCGCAACAAAATTAAAACCAATTGGCAAACCCAGGCCACCGAAGGTCTACTTCGGCCAAGTCAATTGGAGCACCACCCCCCTTACCGAATTTCTAGATCCGCCTGTGGTTAAAACACAGATGCTATAATTATTAGTTCCCATTCAGACGCAGTTTTGTTTTGACCTCCGTGCGTCCATGTGTGCGTGCGTGCGTGCGTCCGCGCGTGCGTCCGCGCGTGCGTTCGTGCGTGCGTCCGGGCCTGTATCTTAGAAATTCAAGATGGCCGAATGGCGGCCATTTTTGTGCTAAAAATCAAGCATTTCTCGGCTGTTTACAGATGGATTTTGTTCGAACTTGGTATATGCATTAGACATTATGGGACCTTAATGCAAATAATTGTGTTTTTCAGATTACATTCAAAATGGCCGACTGGGGCCATTTTGTTTTAATGAATGGGCTTCTAGACCCATATCTCCGACTAGTTTTGACTGATTATGTTCAAATTTTAAATATTCATTATACATTATGTCATAGATGGACAGATATATTGGTTAGAATGGTGGTCATTTTTGTGCTAAAAAATCATCAAATATCAAGCATTTATGGATGAATTTCGTTCAAACTTGGTACATACATTAGACATTACAGGTTCCTGATGAACGTCATTTTATTTTTCAGATTGGATTCAAAATGGCTGACTGGCGGCCATTTTGTTTTAATGATTGGGCTTCTAGAGCCATATCTCTTAAATGCTTTGGCTGATTATATTCAAATTTTATACATTTGTTATATATCATGTTATATATATATACATGTATTCAAAATGGCTGATTTTGAATGCTGTTCCAGAGCAATATCTCTCAATATGGACAAGTACTTGTTTGACGATCAGATACAAATGTCAATCATTTTAATGTTAAAAAAATCATATTCCTGACATGGTTATATTCCAGCTATATTACTATAAACAAAACTATTTCTTAAATTTGATAACTAACGGGGACTGTGCCATGCATGGCTTGTTGA